TTTTTAAAATACAAAAGACCAGGCTATTCCAAATCGTTCACTAGCTTTGTGTGCAACATTAGGGCTGTGCGATATGATGATATATTAAAACGACATATTGCACTCTATCGTTTATTTCATGCTGTCAAAAACTCTTCACTGGAATATGTTTTTCATTGCTTTCTAGGAAAAGGTAAAAAAAAGTCCCCACCACCGTCCAAATAAATAAAAGGACAGAGTAAAAAATGGAAATGCACAATGTATCACCAACTGCTGCATAAACATAACACCTGGAACAAACATTCGAAAATGTGCAGGTACATAAATCGATCTTCTATGGTTGTGTGTGTGCATGTGAGGACAGAAAATTGGCATCCCACTAAACATGTGGGGACCAGCATTCACTTATGGGGACAAAATGCCAGTCCCCACGAGTTTGAAGGCGTGTTTGATGCTCAAAATGTGCTTTTAGTGTCAGGGTTAAAATTAGCCTCAACCCTACCATAACCTAAGGGTTAAGCATTGTTTTTTTTATGGTTAGAGCAAGGGAACAGGGAAAGCATTATGTCAATTAAAACACCTTATACACATTTCACATTTTTCTCCTGGTTGCCCCACCTGCATTGGCTCCACATCCTACAGTCTAAGAACCACCGATGCAACCAAATCCAGAGGCTCCTACAGCATATCAAAGTCTTCTTTTATATTGCCTGCTAATCAGTGCTATGTGTTTAAACAGTTTGGTGAAGAACTGGATGAATCTAGCTAAAAACTGACTTTTAAAGAGCAATTTGACAGGTAATTCATCAGTAGCAAAAACAAAAACAAAAAACAAGCCAAATGACATCTGCTCACCGTGCGAATATGGCCGCAGATCATCATGCCTACATTCTTGGTGAAACTGTGGACCAGATCCAGAAGGGCAGGACGAGAGTTGGGATAACCAGTCATCACCAAACACTGGGGTCTGCAATAAGACACATATGAGAGAAAACATCCACCAAGTCTGCATCTGCATCATCCTTTACCACATCTATAATAGCAGAGAAGGGATGCCATATTTTGCCAGGTTTACAGAATTATTTGATTTTATGCTTTATGTGTAGCCACCTTTTCATTTGACCTTCCCAGTAACCTTTAGTCTTCTTAACACACAAACACCCACACCCATA